TTTTGTTGACCTTTGTCCATGGAAGGTCCCTGCAAAATTTCATTGAAATTGGTTCAGGGGTTTTGGAGAAGAAGTCGAAAATGTAAATTGTTTACGGACGCACGACGGACGACGGACGACGGACGACGACGGACAAAAGGCGATCGCAATAGGTCACTTGAGACTTTGTCTCAGGTGACCTAAAAAGTTGATGCAGGGCAGATGGAGAAAATCCAGAAGCATCAGTCTGGTAACCAAAATTGTTTATAGATGGACCATGGATGAAAGGTGATGATTGGCTAATAAGAAGAACAAATAAAGCAAAGATGCCAAAGGTATTTAATCAATCTATATCAAATGTATTTTTTTTTTTTTAAATTTGCTATACAAAAGGTTTTCAAGAAGTGCCTGATATTCTTTAACTTGAAAATATCATTTTTTAACAAATATTTTAAAACTACCACAATTCAGATATACAGTTAAAAACTTAACAGGATCACCAAAATAAAATTGAAACATCAGGAAATCGACTCACCAATTTTGAACAACAAACAAACATCATTGAGATCCTGAACATAAGACCAAAAGTGATTCATAAATGACACAACACTGGCTAAGAAATCCTTTTACTTAAGATATATAAATATTGAATTTATAGCAATCAGAATAGCATGTTTGTTCACATTTCTATATTATAAATACAATTTCTGAAGCCTGCTCCCTTGTTTAAGTACATGTATTTTTTTCATGTTGATTTATTAGCTGTAACTTTCAAGGTTTTCATAACCCATCAACCATTACTATACTTTGAAACTGTAAGAAATTTGACTTCTAAAAGTTTGATTCATTAATAGAATACAAGTAGTGTTATTTAAGGAAAAATATGGCCTTTATCGTAAGTTCGACATATTGAGAAATTTGAATATTTAAAGTTTGACTAATGGAAGTTTGAGTGTAGGTGGTACTATATAGTAAATATGAGGTAACAACAGTGATACTATTCTAATTGTTTGGCTACTCCTAGTATTTAGAAATTTTGAAAGCTATCATAATTCCACAAGCACAGTTAATCCGATGCATTTACAGTGATGGTTTTGCCCTTGGCATCATCAAACTTGTCCATGGTCTTGATGTCGGCAAGCATGCTGAAGCCATACAGAAGGATGAGCGTGAGGAGTAGGACAGACAGGAGACCCATCCAGATCCCCTCTGTGAAGAAAGGTACACAGTCCCAGCCATCAGAAAACTGGTTGTTTATGATGTTGAATGGTTGCAACTGTGATGAGAAGAAAAAGAAATCATTTATAGCATCATATTTCACAGTAATACAAGAGGCCCAGAGGGCCTGTATCGCTCACCTGGATATGTTTTAAGTACTTAATAAGAAGTAAAGATATAGCATTCCATGGTAGAAACTGTATGTACATATGAAATTTCAAAAAGATCAATCAAGTATTTCTGGAGATATAGCGAGAACAACCTTCAAATGTAAGAATCCAAAATGGCGCCCTGGTGGCCATCTTGTTTTAATGAATACACCATCATAGTAACAGGCAATACAAGACAACTTGATAGAGAAACAAGAGTCCCTGTATCGCTCACCTAAATATGTGTAAATAAATTGGTATGAAGTAAATATATAGCACTCTATGGTAGGTGCTGTAAGCACATATGAAATTTCAGAAAGATCCATCCAGTACTTGAGGTATAGCGAGAACAAACTTCAAACAGAGCCCCACCCCTATGCCCCTAGGGGGGTCATACCCACCATTTATACAAAATTGAGACCCCTTGGCCCAAGGATGCTCCAGACTAAATAAGGATAAAATCCCTTAATCACGATGGTCGAAGAAGGAATTTAAGTCTATTTCTCCTATTGGGCCCCACCCTTCTGCCCTCTGGGAGACCACACTCACTACTTATACAAAATTGAGTCCCTTGGCCCAAGGATGCTCCAGACTAAATTAGGATAAATTCCCTTAATCCCTATTGAAGAAGAGGATTTTAAAGGTTTTACCTCCATTTTCCCTATTGGGCCCCGACTCTCTGCCTCCAGGGAGGTTAGACACACCGTTTATACAAAATTGGTTCCCCTTCACCTGAAGATGCTTCATACCAAATTAAGAAAAAGTCCTACCATTCTTACAGAAGAAGGTATTTGAAGAATTTGCTATGTTTCCCCTATTGGGCCCCTCCGTTCTGCCCACAGCGGGGCCACACCCACCATTTATACAAAATTGTGTCTCCTTGGCCAAAAGATGCTCCAGACTAAATAAGGATAAAATCCCTTAATCATAGGTAGCAGAATTTTAAAGGTTTTACCTCGATTTCCCCTATTGGGCCCTGCCCCTCTGCCCACAGGGGGGCCACACCCACCGTTTATACAAAATTGTGTCCCCTTGGCCTAAGGATGCTCTAGACCAAATTTAGTCAAAATCTACTTGGCCGTTCAGGACTTTAGTAGCATTTTGAAGGAAAAGTTGACGGAAGGACACTACGGACGCTGCGGTATAGCGTAAGCTCACCATTGTCCTTCCAACCAGGTGAGCTAAAAATCAGGATAAAATCCAATAATCCCTATGGTAGAGGAAGGATTTAAAAGGGTTTACCTTTATTTGCCCTATTGGGCCCCGCCCTTCTGCCCTTGGGGCCACACCCACTGTTTAAACAAAATTGAGTGCCCTTGGCCCAAATTGGGATGGCATTCTTTAATCCCTATGGTAGAATAAGGATTTTAAAGGTTTACCTCTATTTCCCATATTGGGCCCCGCTCTTCTGCCCCCAGTGGGGCGACACCCACTGTTTATACAAATTGAGTCCCCTAAACCCAAGGAGATGCTCCAGACAAAATTAGGATAAAATCCCTTAATCCCTACGGTAGTAGAAGAGGTGTTACCTCTATTTCCCCTATTGGGCCACACCCCTCTGCCCGCAGGGGGGGGGGGGCACACCTGCCGTTTATAAACAAGAGGTCAATTGGACCTGTATCGTTCACCTGATTTTATATATCAGTCATTACAACTGAATGCATAAGTACATATTTATATGAAATTTCCTCAAAACCATACAAGATCTATGTTCTAACCCAATTGGGACAACACTATATGACTTTCAACTAATCAGGGGCCTCCATTGAGTTGCCATGTTAACAGATTTTGGAAAAAGTAATTGGGATGGAATCGCTTAATCCCTATGGTAGAATAAAGATTTTAAAGGTTTACCTCTATTTCCCATATTGGTCCCCGCTCCTCTGCCCCCAGTGGGGCCACACCCACTGTTTATACAAATTGAGTCCCCTAAGCCCAAGGATGCTTCAGACTAAATTAGGATAAAATCCCTTTATCTCTACGCAAGAAGAAGGATTTTAAAGGTTCGGACCAGGTGAGCTAACAAGAGGCCCATGGGCCTTAACGGTCACCTGATATATTTATACAGAGAGTTGATTTTGTTTTTAACATGAACAGAAATATTATTCAAAGTGACAAAAAACAATAAAACCACCTTATTCAATATCTAGCATACAGAATTAAGACTAAAAAGTATTTGAAACTAGTACCTCTGATTCTAAACAAGAAAAATGAAGAAATTTTAGCACACTGACTCCTTTGAGCCCCACCCTACAGCCCTTGGGGGTAGGGCTGGCTCAAAATTTTCAAAGTATCAAACTGTCAACTCAAGGTTATAATTCCAATCAAGTTATTAACATGT